AATAAAAAAAATTCTGTTCAACCGACTGCCGAATCTTCAGCTTCGGTTACGTCGGCTTCTCCCTTTAATGATTTTACTAATATTAACCTTTTGTTGCAACAGCAGCAACTTATGGAACCATTAGCGAAAGTTGCTGTTACATGAAAATTGCCTCCCAATATCCCTATGATCGTTTATGTGCTACCACGGGATATTCAGGGATACTGTGAACTTACCCCTGTCATTTTTATAAAAATGCTGCACGTGCCAACAACTTAAAGAAGAGCTTGATTGGCGTGGCGTATAATTGCTGCAGCAATGATCTTCTTGAACTCCCAAACCATCAATCGTTAATGATCGAAGGACAATCGCCCTACTAATATTCGTACTGACCCCGTATTCGTATTATTATACACAGTGCCCCATTTTCCCAAATTGTTAAACCATACACAGCACTTTTAGTTACCATATCAGTCCTGATATTGGTGATGTGTAGTGTAGGGACAACACATGCCGTGACATCAATAGTAGTCCCTATTTGTTGCTGTGTCAATGATCCTGCTACCGAAATGGCTCTATTATCTCAACGAAAAGTCTTATGCTGCCTGTGTCATCTATGCGGATGAGCAAGAAATGAACAAGCTTAAGGGCTTTCTACGAAATTATGATCAAGATCGTGACGGATCAAGCCGGGTCAAGGCCCATTAAAGACAAAGACCCAAAATCTATGCGTGAAATAGTGAATAGATTGGTGTTGATAAGAATGGTAGATGAGTCATAAATAGATCGATAGATAGAGTAGATTTAGCAGTTGCCCACTGTAATTAAATATATAGTCGCATTTGTTATATAAAGGACGCAAATTAGCCTAGTTAGCCTTTCAGTCTTTGACATCCCTTTAATAGATAGATATCTTTATATATCTATCTCCCTTAATAGCCTAGTTTCGAATACTCCACTTTGTAATTCTTTAACTGTCTTTATACAGTTACATTCTTGATAATAATAAACTAAACTTCGTGTCTTCATACACGAACCCATTGATTTGTTGTGTGCATCACATGTGACTTGTGATCTTTTGTTAATATTGGTGTCATCATGTGTGACTCATGACCTATTCTTAATACAATACTTTGTATCTTCATATACGTTGTATTGTTAATCTCTTTTGATAAAGCCTTAATAAACCTCTGTGATAAGTCGTTCATCTAACGCCTTTTTAACCCAACTAAATCACTAAATATTAGTCTGTGATAGACTAAACCATAGTTCCTAGAATCATTCTCAGAGGTCGATTTCGAGTGTAACATTGCTTTGCAGCAACAAGAAGTAAAAAAAAAACTTATTTATATGAGCAAAAAATGGAATAGCAGTATTCATTATGGTTTGGTTAAATGTTAAAAGATGGGTTGTATTAATTACATTCATTTCAAGGTGTCGATTATTTGTTTTAAAAGCTTCGAGCATTAAAATAAGAAAAAATGTGTTTGTCACCGGCGGTGACAGTCCCGAATCGAGCTAGGGGGTCGGTTCATCCCCTTAATCTGATTTGGGTTAGATCTAGATCTAGATCTTTTTTGCATTTAGTTTTGCTTCGCATTTGTTTTTTTATTTTTTATTTTCTTTTGCTTTTTCGTTCTATTTATTTTATTTTGTTTTATTTTCTTTCGCTCTTTCGTTCTATTTTTTTTTTTTTTTTTTATTTTCTTCTCGCTCTTTCGTTTACTTTTTTTTTTTCTTTATTTATGTGTTAATGCCGGTAATGATTAGACTTGCTTGAAACCGGAATCATGCAAGATAAGTAGTTGATTGTATTTTTTTTTTTTCTCAAGCATTAAATAACACCAATCTTCTTTTTTTTTCCGTAGCTTAGCTTCACTAAGACGCCAAGAAGAGTGAAGATTGGGACTAGAATCTTGTAGTTTCGCTTTGCTTTTTTTTTTCTTATTTTTCTTGGCTTGTATTTCACTGAAATATTAGGTAATGGAATTTAGAATCGGAACTAGCTCTCATAAGATAGTGCTTTTTTTTTTTACTGTTTGCTTTTTTGATTTTTTTTAGCTTGAACTAATTTTTTCTTTCAGGCTTACTTCACTAGAACTATAGGTAGGTCGCTTCGGGTCGTCGTTGTTGGAGCTTTCACTAGTATGAATTTGTCATCATTTTTGGTGTGATTTCATCACTTTTGGAGCCTTCAGCTTTCCCTAGTGTGTTTTGGTGTCGTCGTTTCTGGAAGCTTTCACCAGTGCGATTTCATTGTCGTCTTTGAAAGCTTTCGCTGGTGTTATTTTTTATTTTTTTTTTTTCTACTATTTGCTTTTTTTTGATTTTTTCAGCTTGAACTAATTTTTTCTTTCAGGCTTACTTCACTGGAACAATGGGTAGATCGCTTTGAGTTGTCGTTGTTGGAGCTTTCACGAGTACGAATTCATTGTCATCTTTGGAAGCTTTTATTGATGTCGTTTTTGGAGTTTTCAATGTTGTCGTTTTGGAAGCTTTTACTAGTGTACTTTGGTGTTGTCATTTCTGGAAGCTTTCACTAGTGCGATTTCGTTGTCATCATTTTTGGAAGCTTTCACTGGTGTGATTTCATTACTTCGTTGTCATCATTTTTGAAGCCTTCAATATCATCATTCTTTGAAGCTTTGTGTTGGTGTTAGTTTGTCGAATGCGGTTGGTTTGTGTTTAGGGTAGTTGGTCATTAGTGGGTATTTGAGTTGGTTTGTAGTTCTGGTCATTAGTATATAGTTAGTTGGTTTGTAGTTCTGGCCATTAGTATATAGTTGTTTAGTGGCCGATATTAGTGATTAGATTTTTTTTTTCTTGATTTTTTTGATTAATAAAGAAATACTTGAACATACGAATTTATGAGGTTATTATGATATTATAATTTTGTGCTATGTTAATTATTAATTTTTTTTTTGATTGGTTCTGTGGGATCTGATCTGAGTTAATTTTCCGAGGCTGATGCGTTTTCGTTACACATCAATTTGATTGGTTGCACGTGATCGGGGCTGTCACCGCAAGTTACAAATAGATTCGCTCTTAAAATAAAGTGGCTATTTTTTTAAACCGGTTTGAAATTTGTTGTGAATTCATTGTTTATTATGTTTGATATATTAAAATATAAAAGTAGTGCTTGAGCGATCTTTATCAATGGTAAATTTTTGGAGAAAAAAGGTGGTTTGTATATCGTTGATTTGTTGATCGGATTGGTAACTCACTTGATTGATTTATTTAATTTCCAACTAATTAAAATTTTATGTCCGATCCATTGAGTGAGATGCTTGAGAACAGCCTTAGGCAATATGGTTTATAGGATCAGTTGCTAAAGTAATTTTATTGTATTAGTTATATAAAAAATTGGTCATTTGCTTGTATAGTACTGCCTAAATACTTCTATATAATAAATAAACTCATTGTACGGCAATACTATTCAACTACAAATGCCAATATTTTTAAATATATCTCGAATTCTAAATTATTGTCAAAGTTTGAGTAAAAATAACGAATTTTATTTTATTTATGTTTTATTGCGATAAATCACATAATCACTTTGTATACTATTGCTTAGTGATTGAACTCGGGTTAACTCGTGCTTTACAGAGTACTCAAATCATTTGATCGAGTTAATTGTTCAAATTGCATATTTGGATCAATAAATGATAACTTACTATTTACAAAAGCAAATAAATTTTCATATTTCGATTAGCAAAAAAGAAAGCTTAGTTTCAAATTTTATTATTATATGTAACAATTATATAATATGTGGTTAACTTGCAAGTCAAAAATTGCATGATTTGAACCATGACAAATTCAAGTTATTAAAGTCGCGAGTTGATGAGTTCACTAGCTGCCTAATATGAAAGTATTTAAGAAGCATTTTGTCGTAAAAGGATCACGGATGTATATTATCTGTTTACAAAATGATGCATTAGCATGATCTATTATATTATCATTATTTATTGTATGATTTAGGTTGTTTTCAAGCACCTCCCTCTATGGCTAATAAAATTATCTGATTGGTTGAAAAAATAGATCGTGTTTAATCATTCCAATTAAAAAACCTGGACTTAACAATCATCTTTTATTTTCATAGAATTACTCTGATTGGCTAAAATTTAAAATCCGCATTTTGTACAATGAATTTCTGGCAAAATTGTTATAAAGATTATTTCAATTAATTTCGATTAATCGAAATGATTGAGCAGTATCTCGATCACTAGAGAGAGCTGCTTGAGAACAAGCTTAATGTCATTTTAGTGACGTTGTAACGTAGTATTTTCGATTAGAAATGGCTAGCAGTATTTAAGGGATGCAGGTTTTTGTCTGGTTTTTTTTTTTCATCCAACCCTAACAAATGGTTATGATTTGATGACCTGTCAGAACGACAGTCATTGCTTATTTGTTTTCAGATGAATTATAAATCGAGTTGCAGAAAAAGGCCTGTCAGAACAACAGTCATAAGGAATTTTCTTGTATTTGCATACATAGCACTAATTTTGGTTAGCATGGTATTCGGCGGGTTTTCTAAGTAGCCGTCATAAGAACTGTAACATTTAGTAAACAGGATCTTTATGCATAAGTTGTTCATTCGATACTCTCAAATTCTGCACTATTCACGAAAGAGGAAAGGACAAAATACCCATAGTCATTTCCATTTGTAACACCCCCTCGATGAAAGACAAAAGTTACTACCATTGACTTCCAATTACGGTACTAATGAATAGTCTTACTCAAGAATTAGATTTGAAATTGAATAGTAATTCCCATTCTCGAATTTAGCGATTTTAATATGGAATACTTTATATGGTATTACATTACTTTTTTGGGGAAATGTTGTAATCAGTAATCCTGTATTATTCAAGAAGATTTTAAATAAGATCGAGCTATTAAATGCTTATGAAATTGTAAGGGGCCAACGAGATGTTGATTTGTAGAAAAATTATGAAAGAAAAATTTAATATCAGTTTTGATAGTCTGTAAAATTTTGAAATCAAAAAAAAAAAAGCTTAAAATTTTATCCTAAACTTTTAACGAAAAGATTTTGACAATTATTTTGACGTTTGAAGGTATTGAAGAATTATACGTGATCATAGAATCTAAAGAGATGTAAAAAAATCAAGAAAGTTACCGAGGCTTCTTCAAAAAGTTTAGAAAAAAATATAATGATCGTCTAATTTTTCAAAAAGTTATCCCAATTGATTCCATAGTTAAGAATCCTAAAGTCTGTAGAATTTTAAAATGCTCTTCTTGTTATAGAAACCTATCTTAGTGAATAATTTGTTGCTGATGTAACACGGTTTTATTATACAGTATATAGTAGAAAATAGATTATCAAATTGAAAATCAGTCTTCTAGCACTTTTTCTAATTAAAGGCCCAGCTTGATCGTGGTCATGCGATCTTATAATAAATTTTTATACTTTGAATGATTAAATATCGGTCGTGTGACTGCATGTACTGATTAATTACGAACGTAGTATATTGAATCGTTTTAGCTATTAGAGGAATAAGATCTTTTTATCACATGATTTCGGTAATAGGCTCAACTCTCAAAGCCGACTTAAAATCGAGTAAGGGGTCGTGATGAAAACATACTTAAATGGTTAAGCACATTGTTTTAATGCAATGCGAAGCATGTACGTACGTAAGTACCAAGAACTTCCATTAACGGTTTAATGGGTTTCAGAATTAATGAATCCGATTTCAGATAAAATAAGTGACGTATTAATTTCAAAAGAAGCGACGTACGTACAAACTCTATTTTTTTAAAGTATGTACTTATTTACTAATTTTATCACCGGCTATGCCTATTTAATTTTCTGATTCGGAATTCTAAAAAAGAAAATAGGATCTTTTAAACTCCCACTTATTTT